TTACATTTTGTTTTATTTTCTTTGTGTTTTATGGTTATGCCTTGGTGAAATTTGCTCCTTACAATTGTGAAAATCATCTGAAATTAAGATGATGTTTTTTTTTTTTTTTTTTTTTTTTTTTTTACTTTTGAAAAATTTGAAAATTCACATAAGGAAAAAGCCGAAAATTAATCTTGCTATCCATGGAATTATTGGGGGTTTTGGGGCCACCAGTCAGGAATCTGTCCATATGACCTGAAATGTTTAGGAATTATGGTTGTTAGGCCTTATATTTCGAACCAAATAAGTTTTTGAAAGCCCTACCCCTTTATAAACTCTAAGCTTTTTGTTTAATGTAAAAAATGATACAGAATTACATAAAATAAAAAGTGAACCTTTCTTCTTAGAAAGGTTCTTTCTTCTACGTGTACTTGTTGTCCACCCAGGTTAAATGTCATTTACCAGAGTTGAGTGTCTCTCTAGATTTTTTTTCTTTATGTGTTTTCTGTTATAAAAATTGAGATTACGTTATATATTAGTGATTTTTATTTTCAGTTATATATTAGTGATTTTTATTTATTTTATAATAGAGATTTTCATGTCTGAACATAACAGATTATGTCGTTTTTTTCTAACCACCCCATAATACTCCTTAATACAGATGTGTCATAATTAGAAGATAGTGGAATTATTGACATTTTAAAAACTGGAATTAATTAATGTCATTTTATATAAATCATCTTCTGGAATATAGATCTAAGTGGTTCAATTGCTGAATCAAATGGCATGTATGTTTAAAATTTTGGTAGTACCAAAATGTATCATTTTGTCCTCTAAAAATGTTTGAATTACTACTACATAATTTTACTAACCATGAAGGTATTTGTTTTCTCATTGATTGATTGGGTTATTATTAATGTGTAAAATTTTATAAATCTGAAAGAAGGAAGCTGATGTCTTCAGAATCTTCATTTCCTTGTCATCACTTTTGCTACAGAGTGTCTTTTAACTTAGTTTATTGGCTGTTAGCCTTTTGTTCTGTGAATTGTGTGTTTTTATTCTTTGTCCATGTATAATAGTTTCGATGTAGGAAATCTTGGCATTTTATGGACAAGGCTTTTTTTGTTTCGTTTTTTTGGTTTTTTTTTTAAGATTTTGGGGAATTGGGGAAGGAGACCAGCGAAGTTGTTGTTCTTCAATCTTCGTTGTGGAGGACGCCAGTCGCCATCTGGCTGCCTGTCAGCAGCTCGTGGCCTCTAAGCTCAAGGTGCTGTATTCAATCTTAGTTGCGGGTGGGCGTAGCCACCATCCCATGGGGGAGTTGAACCAGCAGCCTTGTTAAGAGCGCATGCTCTATATGGATAAGTTTTTATCTGTTATATATTCTTTTCTTTAGGCAATTTAAAAAAAAACTGTTCAGTGACTTTTGCCATTAACAAGTTAAATTTTTACTTATTCAGATCTGCAGGTTTTTTGGTGTTGCCTCCAGTGTACTCATTTTTGTATTTCTGCAGGCTTGGCATCTGTTTTAAAGGGGGTACTTAGGTTTTTAATCTAACTTGATAGTTTTCTGGCCACTGTTTTCTCTTTGTCACAAATACTATAGAATAGCAGTAATACAGCTGAAACTTGCATAGCACTAATATATATAAACATATACGTAACTAATTGGCTCTTTAAACAGGTCATCTCAGTTTAAAATAATATAATCTCTTGAGGTTGTCTTTTAAACTCTGAATACTTCAGTAACCATTCCATGGTCATAATACCCAGAAGGTTGGGAAACTGATGACCAGTTTCAGTTTTTGTCCTAAATGATATTCTTTAATATATCATGCTGTATTTACAGGGTGTTGTCAGTTTTGTGCCAGACCCACAACTCTTGTTCTTTTTCCCCCTGGGAACTCTTCCTCTTTGAAGAATGGAAAGGTGACTTTGATTTGGCCATTAGTAAATTTAGAACAAAAATGATCTGGGTGAGAGCCTTCCGTTAAGCTCTTCAGTCATTTATTTAAAGTTCTGCCATATGAAATTTCCATATAATATATGAATGGTTGAATATTGACAATTTCATATGGTTTACCCTGAAATTTTATTACTTTAAAAATATGGCTACTTGAGAGCTGCCAACAGGTGGCTAGATGGCTCAGCTTAAAAACAAACAAAAAACAAAAATATGGCTACTTGAGGTTCGCCTTTCCAGCCAGT